GGCTGTCTGCTGGGTATTCCCCAAGTCCCTGCGTCCCTTAAGCCATGCCCCCAAAGCATGCCACCATATATCCAAATGAAGGCATACCTATCATGTAACGGGGACATAGGGACATGCATGTGCCCAGGCAGTGCTTACACAGGCCAAAGTGTGAAGGAAGCCTATTTATTTGATTTGTCTTTCTGCCTGTCCCTGACTTACTGCTTTATCTTAACATCAACTTTAAAATCTCCTGTTTTCTATGTGAAATACAGTCTTAGAAGGTAAAACGTGCACTTAAATAGCTAGGGTGACTTGTGAATTACTGGCATGAACTAGATGCTGTAGAAGGGAAAAGACAATACAGATATACAGAGTATGTGCAAGAAACAGGGAGAGCACAGTACCAAGAGAACAAGAACCTAAAGCATTCCATCTTAACAGATGAATAATAAAATAATAGAATCATAGAGTGGCTTAGATTGGAGGATACCTTAAAGATCATCCAGTTCCAACCCCCCTGCCACTGGCTGGTGCCACCCACAATATCAGGCTGCCCAGAGCCCTATCCATGGCCTTGAGTGCCTCTAGAGATGGGGGATCACAACCTCTCTGGGCAACCCATTCCTGCATCTCACCACCCCTTGAGTAAAAATGTTTTACCTGATATCTAACCTAAATTTCCCCTCTTTTAGTTTAAAGCCATTCTTCCTTGTCTTATTACCATCAGACCATGTAAAAATTGGTCCTCCTCCTGCTTATAAGCTCTCTTCAAGTTCTGGAAGACCACTGGAAGATCTCCCTGGAGCCTTCTCTTCTCCGAGCTAAACAAGCCCAACTCCCTCAATCTTTCCTCATAGGAGAGGTGCTTCAGCCCTGTGATCAACTTCGTGGCCCTGAAATTTGAATGGGAAAAAAAAAACAGTAAGCGATGATGGTTTCTATTACATTATTAAACATGCTGTTTGCAGCATGTTTAATTTGTAATGCTGGAACTGGGTTGAAAGACAAAGTCTTTCATCATTCTTGGGAGACACATGGTTTTAGTAAATAGCAATAACTGCGCTTGGAACAATAAGATATCATGCACAACTTTGGCTAAGAGCTGCAGGGAACAGTAACAATTTAAAGATTTAAGAGAGTTCATCTGGCCAAGCAGCTAAGCTGCTTCTCTATGACTAATGCATGGGAAGAGGTCCCTCTGGCATGTGATCCATTTCATCTTCTGTGCTTTCTTCAGGATGGAATGTACCATCCTTTCACTTCCTATTGGTTCCAGAAGCAACCTGGGGAGGTAGGTTACATTTCCAACCAAGATGAGACAAGCTGTAGAATATTGGGTAAGGTGAAACACATTCCAGGAATCTCAGGCACTTGAAGAGCGAAGTTGAGGAGCACCATTGCTGAAAGCAATCACACAACCCACACCTGCTCTCTGATCATTTCTGCTTGTGCATGGCTCTCACAGGTGGGCTGGTGCACACAGTCTTGGGAGACCAGCCACTGAAAAGACTGGGGAAAAGTCTCCACGTTAAAAATACAACTTTTCTTTCTCTATTATTTCTTTTTCCACCATTATCTGCTCCCACCTCTTGGTTGCCATGGTTACACAAATACTTATGCTGTCACCTTGATTACTGCCATGTGAGGATGAGTTAGGGAGAAGCAAGAAGCCTCCTGAAGAGGCAGCAGCAGCAGCAGCCATGACTTGCCCCCACTCTGCAGGAGGCAGCCCCAGCATCAGTGCTAAGCCAGCACCCTACTGCTGGCCAGACCATGGCAAACGTTTACCTCTCAGTTTGCTTTGATAGGAAAAGGAAAAGCCTATGTTATTGACAAAGCAGTTGGGGTTGCTGCTCCCACCTGTGCTGGTTTTTCCCTCTTCTGGTCCTATGGGAGGCCATAGAGTCCTAAGTTTATTTCCAAGATCAGAAACCAGCCAGCCATGACAGTGCTAATAAAACAAGCACAACAAGCAGAAGATGGAACTCATGTTATTCTAAAAATAATCCAATCATCAGGACTAGGCTAATTTCCTCATACCGCCAAGCTCCACGCCACAAATAATCGCCTTTATTTTGATTTTAGCCAACTGAACTGTGATTTCAGCCTCTCTTCAGACTTCAGGTTAGTTTGAAGTTAGAAACTCTTTTATCTTGACTTCTTTTAGATGGGAACAGCTCAGATCAGAGCTAATATCTGGGTATTAGATTTTGAAGTCCTATTCAAGGCAAATCCAAAAAGTCTTCCCATATGAATTAATGCCAACTAACCCAGTGCTTATCCTTCTGCACTCAAACACACTGTAAGTTTCAGGTGCCATTTTTCTCTACAAAGAGATTTTTTTATAATTTCACAGTTTTTTCTACCTATTTTCTCGACACTTTCACGTGATGCCTTGAGATCTCTGTGAACTGATTTATGTCCCTTTTTTCTGAAAATGTACTCCTACTTATGGCTAACAAGTAACACTTGCTCACTTTTTGAGCATCTCCTCGTAGATTTTTTTCTTAAAGTAAACAGGGCTCCATCACTAAATTAATTAGTAGAACAGGTAGGAACAGGAGCTTATTTCAAAGTTGATGTACCAGTTATTTGCACCAGACATGCTGTGGGAACTTAAATGAGCACTTAAGACATTACACATACCAGGAAACAAACGGAACTGGACATCGTGGCTTCCTAGTTTTGTAGGTGTAAATGAATAGCTGGAGATTAAGCAATAGAATGCAAAAGGCCTTTAAAATTCTAATCAAGGGCACATGACAATAAATCCAGAATCACTATCCAGTCTGAATATTAGTGGCCCCTTCTCCCACAGTAAGTCAAGTTCTCTTATAATAAAAATTTGACAAATAGCCATAGATTTGGGGAAGTTCCATACGGCAAAGTCATCTAAGAGTAATAAGGCAGTAAAATTAAATACAGGGAGTATCTGTGGCTGTCGTGGGAATTAAAATTAAGATAAGTAAAGTCAAGGCTGCCCAGAGTTTATACTGAGTAGGAGACTCCTTTGTTAAGTTTCAAGTCACTGAGGACCACACATCTCAGATGTTCAAAGCAAGAAAATAAATAAGCAATGTTTTTGTTTTTTTTTTTTTACAGGAAACTCTTAAAGAATTGCTGGGTGCAAGATGCTGTTTCGTGAAGAACTGAAGGTCAGATTAATTTGGGAAGAAACAAAGTGTTTATAGTGAGGAGTCCAACACTCATCAATTTTAAAATATAGGAAACTCTCACACAGACCTTCGCATGGAATTAAGCAAGTGTGTAGAGAAGCAGAAAAAGCATAGCACAGTTTCCAAATGTGATACAATAGCTCTTGAAATTGCAGACTGAGAGATCAGGTAAATACATTAGTATATCCTACGTATGTTTTTATAAGTACTACATGACACAGAATTATAATATATAAACAGCACAACAAAAAGCAAAAATTACAAAGTGGGATCATATCATAAAAGTCAGAAATTCATTGCAAAGCCATAGTGATATTGCAAGAAAATTTGAGCATATCTTGTGTATATAAAATTCATTTTTAGAGACAGAAAATGCTCTGATAAGACTTGCAAGATTGGGAAGTTCATCCATGAGCATGTAAGGACTGGCAAAGAAAGCTGAAAAAAAGACTTACTATCTCCATGGTATCAGGGAACTGGTTCTGATATAACTTCTCATAATTGTAGGAGGAAAAAAACTAACTTTGCTACCATGGAAACAGAATGGTGCAACATAACTGGTTATTACCTGTCTCCCTTAACGAGACTGATCCCTAACATGTTAAGGCCCTCAATAACATAGGTAACTTCTTTTCCACCTGGGAAATAAATGTGTTACAAAAGGAACAAGGGGAAGGTATTCGATGAGCTCACCAAGCATGGAGAGAACAGCTCAGGAATGACAGGTATTTCTGGGAGAAGTGGGGGACTGCAGAGCGGAGGAAGGGAATAAAAGAAAGATCAAGAAGGAAGATACCACAATACCAAAAGAAATCAGGGAAAGGGAGTTTGGGTTGATTAGTGAGATAGCAAACAAGGCCTTGACATTGAGTGGCTGGATCCTGCTCCTGCTAATCAGAACCTTTTAAATAAACAGAGCAGCAAATATGAGATGGATGGTACCTTGCCCTAGCACGGGTGCAGTCTCACAGAAAGTGTATCTTGTGTAATTTCTATTTTCTCATCATTTCTGAAGTTATTTTTCCTTTGTTCTTCACTGGAAAATTCCACTCCTTGGTTGCATAAAATAACTAACAGCGTTTGCACCTTCCTCACTGTTCAGTTCTGCAACAAAAGTCATTTTCCTTTCCCTTATTGGAAGCTTTATTTTTTCTGCCAGTCAAATGTCCTGTTAGCAAAATTCATTAACATATATAGCTCGATATCCTCTTGATATTTTCTCTAGACCCGTCGTATAACATACACAACACAGAGCCAGCAAGATCCTCATGGCTGTCACTGGAGAGGTGTCTCTCAGGATGCTCCACTCAAGCTTTTACATCCCGGCCCTGCAGCCATTGTTCTGAGAGGCTGTGCAGCACTCAGGGTACGCCTGTAATCCCTGCAGGTTTCTGCACAGTCCCTGAAAGGACCCTTCAGTCCCTGAAAGGACCCTTCAGCCTCCTGAGGGCACACAGCCTCGTCACCATACTGCTGCTGACATAATCATGGAGTGCTGTGTTTTTTTCCCCTCGTGGTTGGGGATGGCCTCTCCTCTCAGGTAATAGATAGGATGAGAGATAACAGCCTTAAGTCGCACCAAGGGGGGTTCAGGTTGGATATCAGAAAAAACTCAGAAAGAGCGGTGAGGCACTGGCGCAGGCTGCCTAGGGAGGCCCAGCTCGGGTGGGGAGCATCCCTGTTCCTTAGAGCTGCAGTCTGGCTGGCTGCCCGGCCCTGGTCGCCATGGTAACTGCGCACACCTCATGCCAGCCTCGCGCAGCGGCCCCTTTAAGGAGGAGCGGTTCGCCATTTTAGGTTCCCCCGCCCCCTCCTGCCACGTGACGCTGGCGGCCGCCATCTTAGGCTCTCCGCGCCGGCGCCTCGCGTTGCCCGGGTCACGTGGGATTGAGGCCGGCGGAGCTGAGGGGAGGGGAGCGGAGCCGCGCGGCCGGAGGCTGAGGGGCGGTGGCAGCGACACGATGGGGCAGTGCGGGATCACCTCCTCCAAAACCGTCCTGGTCTTCCTCAACCTCATCTTCTGGGTGAGTCCGGAGGGGTCGGGGAAGAGGGGCGCATCTCTGCGGTGCGGCGTGCGGAGGGCTGGGGCCGAGCGCGGTGCGGGGCCCGGCGCTGAGGGCGATGCGGGCCGCGCTGCCTCGCCGCTGTCCCGGCCTCACGGCCGCCTGGGAGCGCCGCGCTGTCCCGTGTTTTTTTCACCGTGTCTCTTTAAACTCGTTAAAAGCTTTGCGTTTCCTCGGGAAGCCGCGGTGTGTGCAGCCCCTTCATTTCCAAGCCGCCCTCCTCCGGAGTTGGGAGGTGGATGAAGCTGCATCTGTTGTCTCAGCGCCGGGCAGTGAAGGTTTAATGAGCATCAGAGATCCTGCGGTAGGGGCTCTTGTGTAACGTGGTACAGCTGGAGCTGCGGTATTGAGGTTTGCAGATCCTTGCCGCTGTAGTTTCTGTAGAGCTGCTCCATCCGCCTAGTTTTCGGCCTTTAAAGTCTGCCCCGAGCGCTTAGTGGTAAGTATGTGACACTGATTTCTTCCACGCGTTTAACGCAGAACTATGCCGTACGTAGAACTTAATGGTGTGACAGCGAGTCCTGTGAGTCACTTTTTCTAGTCAGTGCAGTTTCATAGCAGTATTTATGCCTTGCTTGAACCTGCCGCAGCTGTGCTTACCCAGCCTGGGGAGCAGCAGGCTGCTGGAAAACTCCTTGCTGAAGGTGGGTGTTCAGTTGTCATTGCCTATTGTCAGGTGCAGAGCAGTGCACACGGAGATTACACAAAGTCATCTGTGAATTTAAGAATCCCTTTTTTTTTTTGTGGTGGGGGAGGGTTAGTTGCTCTGTTTCTCATTTTCTAATCCTGGCTCCAGTTCTTTGTACTGCTGTTCAAAGCGTTGAGGAGGGAATAGTGGGTGAGGAGATACTGGGAGATAAAAATGTAACTATATTTAGCTGAATAATGACTGGTACCATATGAAATGTAACAACTGTTAGAGGGTAAATGTGTTTCTCTAAATTTTTACTAAGGAACGTGTCTCTTGGGTGCTTAAACATGAGTTATGGTCAGGCAAAATGCGTGTCTGTGCAGTCTCACTGGCATTTGTATGTACAGCTGTTCAGAGAGAAAGAAGTTGGTGTGAGGCATGTTTAAAAGATCTGGAGTAGTCTCCATTGCTTATCTTTGAAGTATCGTTACAGAATGGGTTGGAAGGGACCTCAAGGATCATGAAGCTCCAACCCCATGCCTCATGCAGGGGCCACCAACCTCCACATTTGATACTTAGACCGGGTTGCTTAGGGCCCCATCCAACCTGGCCTTGAGCACCTCCAGGGAGACAGATGGAATCTCCTTTGTAGGGAGTGGTTTTCTGTTACATGCATAGTTGCAAGTGATACTGAAAGAGCATTGTGAGAGCTGCCAAGTAGTGCTTAGTTTTTCACTGGACGTGAAGTTGTTGCGAGTTGCATTTTGAAGGAGAGCTTTATGATCCTTAGTCGTTGATATAAATTAGGTTGTGTTTTTAATGGATGCAAGTTCTCTGTGAGTTTTCTCTTCCAACCCCAAGGTTCAGTGATAGTTTTCATGTTTTATATATTTGGAAGTTGGTGTTTGCTACTTGCTGCATTTAGTAATTTAATTGCAAGTGTGTTTACTCAAAAAAAAAAAAATAAATCCAGCGTTAAGCACAGGAGCTTCTTGGTGTAATACTTAGCATAGTGTTTTAGGGTTTTTAATGGCTGTTCTATTCTTAAGACAAATTTGACTTGATAATGTGTAGACAGATTGTGTTTAGGTACAAAGTACTCTGTGTCAAATCAGAATGTCACCAGTGTATTCTGTAAACTATCTCCAGTCAATGAAGTCAACTTTTGCTGGCACCTTTTTGACAGGGAGGCAGCTGCAGCAGCCATACTGCTGATAAGTTGTGCACAGAATGATAAATGCAGGTTTCTCCAAAACTGAAAGCCTCAAAATCTGTGTCTTGGCTCTTTAGAGTGTTACTTCTTACATAATTTCAGCAAAAGTTGTGCATCTCAATTTTAAATGGCAAAAGAGAAGGAAGCATTTGAGTTCTTGATTTAGCATGTTTCATTTGGTGACTGAGCTGAACATGTATAACATTTAGTGCCTATCTAGTTGGCAGTATAATTGCTTTTGTGCTGTTACAGAAGTGTTCTGATTGTCATTCATATGTCATTCCAGTATTGATAATCAGATCATCTAGATTTACACTGAGGCTTTTGACAGCCAACTGCCTATAATTTGTCAAGTGGCTGTGAAACCTCCTTGAATTGCTTTTTTAAACTTAGTATGTCATTTCAGAGTATCATATATACATTTTGTGATCAACAGGATTGTCATAATCTTTATGGTATGCATTTATATTGCGGAATTAACTTGAATTCTGTATTTAAACTTGAGATTAGTTTGCTACAGCCATTGAAAGCTCTGACAATTAGTCAAGTGAATTGTATTTGAAGAAGTGTTTAGACAGTGCTCTCAGAAATATGGTTGGATTTTTGGGTGATCTTGCATGAAGCCAGGGATTGGACTCAGCGGTGCTACTGGGTCTCTTCCAATGCAGGACTTTCTATTATTATAACTTTCTTTTCTCCCTAACCACAGTTCTGATATTTGTGGGAGGGTGTGAATGTTCAGAACACTTTTTTATAGTTCAGTCTTTTGAATGTGAGATGTTCAGAAAATTGTTACTGCTACTGCCTGGAGGAAAAAGAGCAGCTTTATTATACTCTCTAATTCTGAATGTAATTTGTTAAAAATAATTGATATTTTGAATTCCTGTCTACTAAACATCTTGGTTCTTTTTCCTTCGGTACTATTTTCTATCAGTTGCTTGGTTTGTTGAGAAAATGTTTAGTATCTGTCAGCTGTTCTTTTGGTACTGTGAACCTGATGATGTCTTGATCAGAAAAGTTTAAGCCTTTAAGTATTGAGTCACTCCAAAAGTAATGCCTCGTATTTCTTTCCATGGAAACTAGAACAGATAGAAAGAACACCTTAACACTATTGGATAGAGTGAATTCTCCGTTGCAAGTAATGGTACAATAAAAAGACAAGAAAGAAGAGAAGGCTGGGGAAGAGGACAGCGCTATGGTGCTGCACCTCTAACCAACACGTAGGTCTCTGAGATCAACATGACAGTGGTGTCAAAAAACACCCCCATTTTGATTAAGTACTTAATAACAGTAGAGGAACTAAGGTTTTGATGCTTCCTAATAAGTAAAGAGTACTGTCTGGTTTGTTCTGCTGAAGTGGGCAGTTTCACTGATGGCACTTCTAATCATGTGAAGCCACCATACTATTCCTGTTCAGAATGACACTGTTTCAGTGCTCTGAGATGTTTATCTCAGGCTTCTGTATATGTTGCAAGAGTTCACATGTTGTGCTTCTGCAATTTCTTTTAATTCACAAAGGTGCTCATATATGAATGTTTGGTTATTACTAAGCTCTAGGGGGAAAAAAGACCAGCAAGAAAAAGGTTTTATTATTTTCTTAATGTCGATGTGATTTAATATTGCTAACAGATCCTTCAGCTGACGAGACTGCTTAAGTAAAATTAATACAGAGTGTGCATGTTGGCAATAGCAAGTTCCTTTTCCTGCTGCAAATTGTGTAAAGAAGCAAGCTAGTGTAAATGGTATTGCCATAGGCTTTTTGCCAAGAGAAGCAGTCCCTGCTTGTGGCAGCAGACATTAAGAGTAGTGTCTTTGCTTATGCTCACACAGGCTTTCTTAATTCATCAGGAGTAAGATCCTCTTATTTTTCTGTATTGGACTCAAGTAGGTTGTCATCTCTAATAGTTATGTGGTAGTTCCATATTTGTCTTTGCCTTATGAAAAAGGAAGGTCAGGCATGCTATCTGATCATAGCAGTCATTTATGACTGCTGATGTAGCCCAAGCTCCACCCAGTTTGCAGTTTGTGATTCTAAAAATTCATCTCCTTCAGGAAAGTCTGATGTTAAGTTTTATTTCACTTCATTACACCCAAGAAATAAAACAGTGATGCTTCTACTAAGTGCATTTTTCCAGAATACTTCTGAAGTAGCTCCCCTCAGTGGGATAGGGACAAGGATCAAAGAATAAAGTAGAACTTGTGGGTTGAGATTAAACCATTTACAAAGATACAGAAAAGGAATCACAGGCAGTTGCTCACCACCCTGACTGATACCCAGCTGGCCTCCTGAGCAGTGGAAGAAAGTGAGATGAACTCCTCCACCCTTCAGACTCCTTCCACATGTCACATGGTACGGAACATCCCTGTGGCCAGTTTGAGTCAGCTGTCCTAATTCTGCTCCCTCTCAGCTCCTTGGGCCCTTTGCTGCAAATGGCCTTGGCTCTGCACAGCACCACTTAGCAGCAGCTATCAACACCGCTGCGTTATCAACATTGTTTTTCTCCTAGAACCAAAACCTAACATCGTAACAGACGCTCTGAAGAAAACAATTCCACCCCAGCTAAAATTAAGGCACTGAGTTAAAGCTTCATCAGGTGACTCGTACAGCTTAGTTGAAAGCCATTTGAAGAAGTTAAATAAATGTAAAAATGGCAGAGAAATGCTTTCAGGCTTGTTCTTTAGGAGGTGGTATAGATGGCTAAAATGTTCAAGGATGCCTGTAGTTTACTTAAGGAGTCTATGTTCATAAAGAATATATGTGCTTTGACAGCCTGTAGTGCTAAAACAGTACCTAATACCCTGTGCTTGCTTTGAGGTTTTTTTCTTTACATTTACCAGGTAAATCTGCTCCTTGAGAAAGGGAATAAAGTTTGCTTTTGCTCCTGTGATGCTTTCTACTTGGTATTCACAAACTAACTCTTTTAACTGCTCTTTAAATTACTTAACTAGCTTGAAACCATTAATTTTACTATTTGACTAAACTAGTATAGCATAACCCTAGTAGTGGTTGTTGCATCTCCAGGCTTCATTTCAGTATAGCAAGAAGGCTTTTTACAGTCCTGTGCTTACTCTGTAACATATGCATACTCACCACAGTATTAGACATTACATAGTATT